TGGTCAAAGCAGCAGCCGAAGGTCAAGGATTGCAGGCTACTTGGCAAGGTGACATCTGCCAAACTTTTGTTGAATCTGTCGCCGAAGGTCAACGTCTGTAGGCTACTTGGCAAGGTAACACCTTCCAAGCTCTGGTTGAACCGGCTGCCAAAGGTCAAACTAAGCAGGCTGCTTGGCAAAGCAACACCTTTCAAGCTCTCGTTGAAAGAGTAGGCAAAGGTCAAAGTCTGAAGACTGCTCGGAAAGGTGACGCCTTCCAAGCTCTGGTCGAACTCGTCGTCGAAAACCAACGAGACAATCCCATCAATGGGACTTGCATCGCCTTCCAGGGCTCGCTGCAAACTCACTGCTGCCTCTCCAGCAGATACTTTCCTGGCCACGAAAGTCACCTCTTCACCAGTCACTTGTTGTAGGAGGGGCTTGGAATGGTCCAGGACATGACCGCCAGAAGTAAGCACCAGGGCTCGACCAGCGCAACTCATGCTACTCTGGGCCACAATGATTCTTGACAAATCATTCACCTTGGCTGGAATGGCACCTGCATCTCAATGTTTTGAACTAAATGGTTCCATGCATTCTTCCTGGGAGCGTTGCGAAGAAAAGAATTGCGTAGCAAACACATCTGCATCAATACATTTGGGATCATTTGGGACTTATACAGCTATTTGTACGTGTGCTACAAGTACACCTGCAGCTTGCAGGTGTGGTCTTCTAAAGCTGCTGCTACGGTGGTGATACATTTGCGACTTATATGTAGGTATGCTACAATAGGTATGCTACGAGTACACCTGCAGCTAGCATCAACTAGCAGGTATGGTTGTGAAGAGTTGCTGCTACGCTAGCATTGCTTTTCCGCTGGGATCTTGCTTGAGTGAGTTGTTTTGGTGCTGGGTCTTGCTTGGGTGAAATGCTTTGGTGCTGGAGCTTGCTTGCGTAACTCTCGCTGAGGTCTTGCTTAAGTAAAGTCATATGCAAAGTCAAGTATAACTTTCGCTGGGGTCTTGCTTAAGTAAAGTTTTACGCACAGTCAATTATAACTTTTGCAGGGGTCTTGCTAAGTCATATGAGCAGCGGACAAAATTACTTGTGTAGCCAAATGCCATTTGACATGATTATCGTTTTTGGTGGGGTCCATATTGTTCTCCAATGTTTCTCCAAACCGCTACCGGCACATAGACTAAAACACAAAATATCACAACCTTAGATTAGAGTCTTAGAGGCTTACAGTGCTTTCTGCTCAAATATGCTCAAATAAACATGCAAATGCAATAACATATTGTAACCACAAACGTCTTTGTACCCACTACAGTACGTCTTAACAAGATTATCGTTTTTGGTGGGGACCATATCGTTTTCCACAGAAATGAAGCCCTCAACATAGGTTTAGGGTCATGCCGTGACTAAATAAGTCAACCAATAATTTTGTCCGTCGCTCATATGCAAAATCAAGTATGACTTTCGCTGGGGTCTTGCTTCAGTCGGCACATATCATATGAACACTAAAGTGGACATGTTAACATAGAGTGAAGCATATTATGCTTGCTCGCGCGTGCGTGACACATGTCGGCTCTTTATCTAATCTTTCTTAGGCAGGGGCCTGGCCGGACAGGGCCGTGGCCGGAGATCGTGTGTGTTGAGTGCTCAAACGTGCAGCGAAATGCAAATTATGCCGAACCCTTTGCAGGAATCATGCGTGTTTGTTTTTTCTTCTAGCTACTGGCTTGGTAGTAGAACTCCCAAACGAAGACAACCAATAATCAATCCTAATCGATGGTTTAACAGTTATTTAACACATCCAGGTCACAGTCGTAGCATCCTCAACTGCAACCTGAAATGACGAACCATCCATGCCGTGGATGCTCAATTTGCATCGAGACATGTTGCCTTCAGCAACCACCTCTTCTTTCGTCTTTGACGGTTGTGCTCTTTCTGCATCCTCTGCTGGGACGTCTGCACACCTTGCTTCTGCCACTGGCCTCAGTGTTTGATGTCACTGCCCCTGAAGGATGAGTTGCTGAGTAAAAGCTTAATCTGGAGCCTGGAGGGCGTATTCAACTCAGCCATCGGTTTCACATGATGCACATTGACAATCTTTTTGAGATCCGAGATCGATGTATGATTGTACACATGAACTACGAGCAACGCCATTTGCACTTTCCAATGTTTCATGTTTCCCCAAATTGACCTATCGGATGTGGATGGACGTAGTGTCGATCGAAAAACACAACATATAAAGCCATATACGCTCCACCGAGCGACATCAGCCGCTCCACCTGGCGCAGCAGCCGCTGCGCGCCCGTCACATCTTGGCAAAGCACGCTCAGCAGCGCCTCGTCGTCCGGGTCCGCTGACAAGAAGGTGGAGGCATTGACACTCGAAGCACCAGCGCCCATGGGGAGGGTTCACTTGCAAAACGCGAGGACGACCAAGTCCATCTGATCCAATGTGTTCTTGAAATGGGTTTGATTCCATTGTGGTTAAGGGTGAACATATGATCCTTGGTCATGTTGGGTCACTTTATATATATTATATGAAACCGATGACAAATAGGTCGCACAAGGTTTTTCAGCAGCTGTAAAGTGAGGGTCCATCTTTCTCCATCTGGTACTAGCAGCCTGGTCGAGTTGTCAATATGTCTTTGAGTTTCGTCAAGCTCCTCTGGGCATGAATCCATGGTGAGACATCGGGAAGCTCGACGTTTTAAAGTGGGCAGCTCGGAGTGTCACTGAGAAAAAACCCGATGTGATTGTATTCTGTTGAAGTCAGCATGTATGTTTCAACACACGGATATACAGTTTCTCTATCCGATCAGGTTGGCTATCCGAAAGCAGTGTCAGTTCTTTCAATGCGACCGGTGCTCAAAGGCGCCTCCTTCTTTCGCAGTGGAGGCCTGGAAGGATCCGCTGGCGAAAGAAGGAAACAACCGCTGACCGACCGACGGGTTTCGCATCGTCAGGAAGGTAGAAACACTTGAAACCAATAGCATCATCAAAAAACAACGAAGAAACACACCTCCTTGACATCCATTGCATGCACCATGTTTATTCGTGTTTTAAACAGCGGCCCGTGTTTCATTTTCCTGGTCACCTCAAACCCAAAACAACTCACCAAACACAATCCGCTCCCCCCGCCATGCGATCCGGTTTCTCCCTGTCGGACCTGCCGTCGTGTCGACCGGAGTTTTCCCGGGTCGGTCTGTGTTGCAGAGCGCGGTGGTCGAGCCAGGCAATGCGGGCGAAAGTTTGGAATTTTGGTGCTTGGAGCAAGTCCCACAGATCCTCATGGTTCCCAGGTGTTGGACACGTGTGTCCCCACCCATCACATAGGGGCCATGAGGTGATTCAAAGAGCCCATGCAGTTACACTTCAACCCATCCCCATTTCGAGTCATTTGCATTCTGCCCGGAAACGCAGACGCTCAATGAGTAGGGGCTTCTGGCAAACGATCTCCGGAATGCCAAGCCCGTGGTTGACTATGGCCGAAGGTTCCATAATGTATTGATACTGTCTGCCGAAGGTCAGCGAATGGGATCTGAGATTGCAAGCCGTAGCATTTCATTGTTCTCAGGAGTACCTCCATCTCTCACTTGCAAACTGCACAGCTTAACACAACAAATTGTTTTAGTTCGAGTGATCCCCACCCTGAAAGGCGACTTGTGCGGATTGACACGATGTTCTGACGCTTGTTCTGGCATCAAATCTGGCTTGTGCTCTGACACTTCATCTATCATAAAGGCTGGGAAGCCTTCTGGACTTTGTTCAGACAGCTAGGTTGGCCTGTGTTCTGACATTTTTCCTGTCTGACATGTGCTGTGACATATGGACCAACTTCAATCCTGGTATGTGTCCTGGCATGTAATCCTACATTGGTTGTCCTGGCATAAAATCAGACATTCTATCTGGCAATATCTGGCATATACTCTGAGTTCTATCTGGCAAAGTTGCTGGCATTCTATCTACCACAACTGCTTGCACTTCATCCGGCATTCTACCTGGAATTCTACAGCGCCCACTGCGATCGGGAGCTGGCGGTTGAGGTCCGGCAGTGCCCACTGTGATCTGGCGCTTGCTGTTGAGGTCCGGTAGTGCCCACTGCCATCTGGCATTTGCTTTTAAAGTCCGGAAGCGCCCACTGCGATCTGGCTCTTGCTGAAAAACGTGTTTAAGTTTAGCTATTGGTCATGTTGTAGTGGTTGCATATGGCGACTTGTGTGTGTGGAACCAAGTGCGAATCGCTTGCTAAACAACGAAAACTTCTCAGCAGTCCAAACGCGCTTCGTTTTTGGCCACTCACGTCCGCAAAATTCCTGCTCGTGGTCACACGTCGGTTCCTTAGATGGCCGGTCAGTCACCGTGCTCCTTTGTAGCGACGCGAGGACTTGACAGGGATACGACGCCAGGAATGTTCAGGGGGCTTCTTGTGAGATA